TTATAAATGGAACCTCGATATAAAGTGTGACCAATATATCTATACTCTGTTAGCAGGAGTTTCCTTTTAAAAAATACATGATTTTGCTAACAGAAACATTTCTTTTAGCCTTTCCTGGACAGGTAGCTTTGTCAGAGTGTCCTGTCTGAACATAAGGAATGAAGATATGCCCCTCTGAAGGACTAAGTTGTTCAAGAGGGAATGTCCCCTGAAAAATCTATTGTCTCCTCTTACAATAGATGCTACAGTTCCTGTAAAGAACTAGGAGTCTCTGCAATCCCTTTATACTCTGTCTGACTGTGATGGTGGTAAATAAAGATTTAAAGTCAAGACACATTCTCTCTCCTGAACGTTAATTCTCTGGGGTGGAGAATAAACATCAACTGCAGAACAGAGGAGGTGGCAAGGACAACTCTCTGGATAAGGGCAGAAAACAGATCCTATGGCCATCCCTGAATACTAATATCTATAATATAATTTCCCAAGTCTGTCTGAAACAATTTCTGATTCCCCAGTGAATAGTTTTGCTGTTTTTCCAGCTGCTTTGGCATGGATGGTGTCATTTGACAGGCAGCAGCCTTGAGATGTGCAGTACAGTCTCGGATCGTTTGCTGAAGTGAACTGATAATCCAATGGCCTTGAAAAACCATCAAAAGTTTGTGAAGGTGTGACATACTTCAGATGTCACACTCCTACCACTCAGCTACATAGGATGTTATGTTCATAATGTATATAGGACAGTACCAGTGGTGGGAAGAGGGACAAAGAGGAAAGAGAGAACTCATGCAGTGAACTGGACCCAATATGTGATTTTTGTGCATTTCAGTGTATGATGGGGCATTCCAGTGTGCAAAGCTTCAGGTGTACTGGGTCAGATATTCACAATTAAGCATGCATAATTGTACATGTCTAGGGCCTGATGTCAAGCTTCTTGAAATCAATGGAAAGACCCCCAATGACTTCAATGGACTTTGGATCAGGCCTCTGATGAATACATGCAAATCTCCAAAATGTGCGCCACTCAGGTATTGTGCACATGCCTGGCCAGCCATGTTCCTAGCTGCCATACCTGCTAGCACCTGCAATGGTATAAGCCACCCTAAAACAGGGGAGGGAGGCTGGGCCAAGGTTGGCCCTTATGTGTCAACCTGCAGAGTTGGCCAGTGGTGTAGGGTAGTACATGCTACACCATCCCAAGGGTGTTGCACTGTGGCTGTGCTACCCATGAGTTCTGACAGGCATTGTCTCCCCACACTGCATCCAAGAGTTCCTCGTGGGGCAATGAGGCTCTTAACGATCCCCAGGGTAGACCAGTGCACTTATGGTACGATCTGTGCCATAATTCTCTCTTTAAGCATGGGATCGTCTTTCAATTAAAAATGACCCTCTCAGAGCACATTGCTGGCTGTGCTGCATGTCAAACTTCCTTGCTGAGTGATCCGGCGAAAGGCCCTTACTTTTACTATTATGTTTATAGGCTCAGGTTTTTTAAAGAACAGCAAGCAAGGTACTGGTGGCTGTATCTCTGATAGATAAGGCATAATCACAATCATAAACATTCACTTTGGGGCATAACTGGGCCTCAGATGGCCCAGGGTTTAATTCCTGGTTCTGCAACTGGGTGACCTTCAGCAAGTCACTTTAAAAAAAAAATCACCCTGTGCCTCAGTTTTCCTGTCTGTAAAATGGGGATAATGATACTGCCCTCCTTGGTAAAGCACTTTGTGATCTATGGATGAAAAGTGCTACAGAAGAGCTAGGTATTATTATCATTAACTAAAATTCCAAAGGAGCAGTTTGTCGCCCCTGATTTCCCTTTGTGGCTAATGGCATTTCAAATAATTTTAAATTATGTGTTCTGGAAGTTCTCGAGCTCTCTGCTCTCCCTGAATTACCCATCCATTCCAGTGGTTCATGAAGATATAAAGCCAGGGTCTTGATGTGCCTCTTATGGAGGCACAGCACAGAAGGCTAAATTTAGGAGAAGGAGCGGAAGCAAAGGTGTCTTTAGTAATCTTTGTATTCCCAGATGCTGGGCTGTTCTGGGGCACAATCATGGCATAAATTAAAGCAGCCCCTGAGCTGCTTTAACTTATGAACCTTCCCCCCCAGCTACCAATGGGATGCTCTGCAGTCCAGAGTAGCAGAAGTGCAGAGCGCTCGGGCCACTCCCCCTCCCATTTCTGATATGCTTCCATTCACTTCTCTGCACCAAAGATTAAAGGTTGAAGACATGCCATATACTTTGACTTTAGCAAAGCTTTTGATACGGTCTCCCACAGTATTCTTGCCGGCAAGTTAAAGAAATATGGACTGGATGAATGGATTATAAGGTGGATAGAGAGCTGGCTAGATTGTCAGGTTCAACGGGTAGTGATCAAGGGCTCGATATCTAGTTGGCAGCCGGTATCAAGGGAGTACCTGAGGGATCAGTCCTGGGGCCGATTTTGTTCAACATCTTCATTAATGAGCTGGATGATGGGATGGATTGCACCCTCAGCATGTTCACGGATGACACTAAACTGGGAGGAGAGGTAGATATGCTGGAGGGTAGCAATAGGGTCCAGAGTGACCTAGACAAATTAGAGGATTGGGCCAAAAGAAGTCTGATGAGGTTCAACAAGGACAAGTGCAGAGTCCTGCACTTAGGATGGAAGAATCCCATGCACTGCTACAGGCTGGGGACCAACTGGCTAAGCAGCAGTTCTGCAGAAAAGGACCTGGGGATTACAGTAAATGAGAAGCCGAATATGAGTCAACAGTGTGTCCTTGTTGCCAAGAAGGTTAATGGCATATTGGTCCGCATTAGTAGGAGCATTTCCAGCAGATCAAGAGAAGTGATTATTCCCCTCTATTCGGCACTGGTGAGGCCACATCTGGAGTATTGCATCCAGGTTTGGGCCCCCCAGTACAGAAAGGATGTGGACAAATTGGAAAGAGTCCAGAGAAGGGCAACGGAAATGATTAGGGGGTCCTGGCACATGACTTATGAGGAGAGGCTGAGGGAACTGGGATTATTTAGTCTGCAGAAGAGAAGAGTGAGGGGGAATTTGATAGCAGCCTTCAACTATATGAAGGGGGGTTTCAAAGAGGATGGAGCTAGGCTGTTCTCAGTGGTGGCAGATGACAGAACAAGGAGCAATAGTCTCAAGTTGCAGTAGGGGAGGTCTAGGTTGGATATTAGGAAAAACTATTTCAGCAGGAGGGTGGTGAAGCACTGGAATGGGTTACCGAGGGAGGTGGTGGAATCTCCATCCTTAGAGGTTTTTAAGGCCTGGCTTGACAATTGCATCCTGACTGGGATGATTTAGTTGGAGTTGGTCCTGCTTTGAGCAGGGGGTTGGACTAGATGACCTCCTGAGGTCTCTTCCAACCCTAATCTTCAGTGATTCTATGATAATTCTTTGAGCACTGTTTTGGTTCCCATTATAAGCCACCAGAATGGCATAAAGGGACCTGAGATCTACTACCTGTGTTCCAGAGGGATGCAGGGTACAATTGCAAAATGCGGATAGAATCACTTTAATAACGTTTCAATAACGTTAACAACAGTGAGATGGGGAACTGAGATGAGTTCAATTCCAAACATCCTGATTTTGGACAGTTTGCCTCAGCGCTTAAATATGTTTGATAGTTTTCTGAGAATATTCTGCCTTTTCTCTTAATAAAAAAACTGAGTAAATGTAAAAACCTAAGTCTATTCTACCTATCAAAATATGCATCTATGCACCTGTTAAAAACAGATCACTTGTCTCATTGGCCCAGAACTAAAACGGATATTGCTGCCTATCAGGTAATAATGTATATTTGTCAAGGGCTAAATCCTGCCCCACACCTGTGTAGTTGGGCTTGGTGTAGGTGTTAATATATGTGTATGTCAGGAATCCTACCCCAAACCATGGAGTGGCAGCAAGGTTGCTCTCCTGCCATTACAGCAGCCACAAAGTTGCACAGTGAAGATGCTGCTATAGACCTCGTTTTGCAGAGGGCGAGGGTGTAGGCTCCACTGAAACCAGGGATTCTGGGGCCAGCCCATTGACCATGGCTCTATGACACACAGGATGTTTGGATCCCTCTCCCTAGACTCCAGAAATCCTGCCTCCCCCTGCTGCACAGAAGAACTACACCAGTTCTGTGGCATCTAAGGCCCTTGAGGATTGGGGTAGAGTTCACATTTTAATACTACCATAATATTATTCACATCCTCCCCTATATAAAATGGCTTAGAAAATTAGTCTTGCACATGCACAAACTTTCTTCTCCACTCTTTCCAATTTCTTTGCATGCCACAAAGGTGGTTAATTAGGACCTTATCCGGCAAGGCTGAGTACCCATTGTTAATGTACATTCAGCAATTTGAAAGCATGAAGGCTTACGTAATAATACAGTTCCAAAGTTTTTTGCAGATGAAGGCTGGAATTTTCAGAGGCACAAAGGGCAGCTAGTTACCCAACTCCCATCTCTGCCTTTGAAAATCTCCTGTTAAATACTTATCTCACCCACTGCTTCTCTCAGTTCAAGTTGCTTTTTAGCTCAGCAGTGTTTTAAATCGGTGAACATTACAGTAGGTTTGCACTCTGTCTTAAAAACAATGGCTTCTGAACAATTCAGCATTGGTTGGAGATGATAATTTATTCTCTAGCTTTCAGAAGCCTTCCTCCCTTTTATAGCACACAAGAAGAAAACCATGTTTTTTTCTCAAAACCATCTTCAAGTATTTAAAAACATTTACACCCCATTCTCTTCTGGGCTGAGCGCCAAGTTCCTAGAGCAAGTTTTAATGGAAACTACACAGCTTAAAAATAAGGACCATTAGTGGAAATACAGACAACCAGTGGTGGAGCATATGTGCTATGAAATTTATATTTAAATGAATGGTATTGGGTCAAATCGCTAAGGTTATGAAAGCCAAACTTCTGGAATTGAAAATTCAGACCAATAGAAATATTTTAATGCAAATATTACTAATTTAATGGAAACAATGTTTTTACCCCAACATTGCGTTAGTAAACTTGGTTATTTTTCATCATGTGAGATGATAGAAAGTAGTAAGTCAATGATATAGAAAGTAGAAAGTATACTAGATAACGGATTCTCAGTTTTTTTTTCCCCATAGAGTGAACCCCGTCTTAATAGAGAGACTGTCTCATGGCTAACTCCCTCTTCATTCAAGTACATTACCTCACCTCCCAGATGCTATAACATACCATTCCTTTGGCAGCTACAATAATTGCTCACATGGAAAAGTAATATTAAGAAAAAAATTAATGTATATCTTACATGCCACATTGCATTGAAAACTGGATAGGGAACTAGCTCCAGAAGATGATAGCTTTCCATACATCATGAACTGCTGTGTTTGATTTTTAAAGTTAACCCAGTCGATGTTTTTAAATCAATAATTATATTGTACAAATATAACATTTTCCCAGAGGTAGAAGAGACTGAGGGTAAAGTGATAATTGATAAACAGAAACATTGGCGGACAAATTCAAAATATGCTCGTTATTTTCTTCAGTTATTTTAAGGAAAAATACCCAGTTTTCCCCTCTATTTTCTCAGACTCATGTAGTGCACTGATTTTTATTAAATCACTCAGTAAATGCTAGTTTTGATGCATCTTTCCACTTTCTCTTGGCAGTTATGATAAAGAGGTCACTTTTTTTTTTTTTTTTTTAAGAACACATGGCTACACCAATCAGCAAGATGCTTGATTCTACAAGTATTATGGCTAAGGATAGTGGAGTAACATCTGGGTTGTTAGTAATATCTCAGTAGAATTGTGCTCTCCCACCTGTCACCATCCGTTTTCTCTTGCCCCACACGTGGATTGCAAGGTCTTTGGGGCAGGGACCACCATTGTTATTTATACAGTTCCTACAGCATAGGGTCCTAGTTCATAGGTTTTATGTTTATTCAGTTGGCACTACAAATGTATTAGTAATGGGGTGGTGGCATTGCTAGTCTTTATTCCCAACCACTCCATTATCTAAAACCCCCAAAAGTATATTTGAGAAACAGGGGGGGGTGAGGTAATACAGTATTTTTTATTGGCTCAACTTCTGTTGGTGAGAAAGACCAGCTTTCAAGCTTACAGAGCTCTTCTTCAGGTCTAGGAAATGCAAGGGGGAACACATTGTTTAACATAAGTAGTTAATACATATTCCAAGGGACAACTCAAGGGGAGGTGGCCTATTAACACTCCCCAGTCACAGTGAGGAAAGGAGGGGGAAAAAGGGATGATAGGAGATTAAGTGGGTTATAGACAGTCTACCTAGCAAAGTTATGAATTTAAGCTCTCAGGCTCATCTTCTGAAGGTGTTGTACAGCTTTCCCTTGAGAATTAAAAAAAAAAGGGGGGGTGGGGGGGGGAGTCCTATGACACCATGTAAGCAATAGCTGTACTTAATCACAGAATCCCTGCGGCAGTATCCGTTTTTTTTTTTGAATGCAGAAGTGGTTCATGCTATGAAAGACTTTGAGAATGCTCCATATAAAGAGCTCTGGAAAGCACCTGGAAGACTGGTTGCAAGTGGCCCAGGAGAGATGTAAGCCTTGACTGATACACCCTTCCATTGACTTCTGGGTTGAGACTTTTTTTTCTCCCCCATTGTGTAGCGATATTCTATAGTTGCTTCTTTCATTGATTTCTTCTTGTCTAGGTCCTAAGGGAAAGCAAGTGGTCACTTACTTTTTATGATGCGTTTTAGGCCCACTGTATTTTAGATCAGACCATAAGGAAAACAATTAAAACTGGCAGGTGTGTAAAGATGCTCAAATTGCAAAGAGTTGCCTTGTTAACTGCAAGTGGCTGTGCACCGTCAGACCTTATTAAAAAGAAAACACTACTGTTTCACTGAGTTTAATCCTCCCTACCCAGTCTGCTGAAATAGCTTTTTTTAGAAATTGTTGACAGAGCAAGACATTCTTACAGTGAAACAATAGCTAACAGTTTAGCTGATATTCAGGCTGATATTCAGCAAAGCTTACTTTACAAGTTCTGACAAATGGAGGTTCTACAACCTACACATAAACAAAGCTACACCCTGAGCAGACCCACCCCAATAATGAAGTGAAAGAACGAGTTTAAAAAAATATTTATTACAAAATCATATCACTTTTGTACAGTACAAGACTTAAAATCAGAAGCCTTATCCTCAAAACAAAATTCAAGAACAGCTAAAAGTGTCTAGTGCAAAGTAGTAAAACCCTTAAGTAGTTAAATACAAAAGAGACTCCTTGTGGAGGGCTGATATGGTTTCCATATTGATATCAACATATGGCACTGAGTGTGTTTTGGATATAAAGAGTTGGTACTAAAGACTCACTTAGCATTAGGAAGTTGCCCTATAATTCAAAGATAATGCGGTCCAGAATACTTCCACCTGCAAGTATTAACATTGTTTACAGCAGCATAAAAGTGTGCATGATGTTTTGAAAATAAAGGTACTCTTCTCCAGAGGGACATGTGGGTTATATATTACAAAAAGTGCTAAAGAGCATGAGAACACAGATCATGCTCAGGCATTAATGAGCCTAGAGAAAGAGCCAAAATTTAATGTTTACTTGAAAGGAGAGACTATGTCTAGGTGCACTTCATGACCTTGTCTAGCATTCGAGATTTATAAGCTACTGAAGCATTGTGACACAGTGAAGAGGACCTTTTTCATCCCTATATTGAAGGTGGAACATCTCTCTGAAATTTTACTAGACATATGGACTAAGTCTATACTAATGGAATAAAAAACCCTGTACAGTACAGTTATATGCAGTACCAGTTAAAACTCATTCTGCTGAGCAAGGTAGTATAACAGTCTACTATTGCTTGGATTAAGAATTAAATAAAATCTGATGTCCACAGCAAGAATGTTTAGTGGCGTGCGCTCTGCTTCTAGCCAAGATGATCTGCATTACAAAACCATCCCACAACTGAGCATGGATGCTAGTTGTTCGTGTGAAGTACTGGATTCTCCATACTTAGGCTCCTTTGAAAAATCCAAGCCTAAACATTTGGCACAGCCCTTACAGTTCAAAGATGTAGGCTACATGTGTCATTATGTCTGTCACAGTCAAAAGCATTCCTCAAGATACAAACACATAGCCTTCTCCAAGTTACCAAGCAAGTTGCGTTCAAGGGTTTTTTTTTTTAAAAACAAACCATTTCTGAAAATGGCACCAATCTTCTACCATTCAGGGCAAGTAATAAAAATAATCGAATAAAGCTATTTTTGGAAAAAAAGTTGTATAACATTTATCATTGGGAAGTGCAGGGAGAAAAATGGGACTTTCTAATGTCATAAGATACTTTGACCCACACATGGCTACCAACCTGCTACACCTTAAGGTTCCTATCCTGCTGCTGCCATCATGTTAAAGTGGATCTGAATAGGACAATATTGTATACCCATATATGCACCTAACTGCAGAGTTGCATAATAGATGGTGAAGCTCTAGTGACTGTTCTGGGAGAAAAATAGGTACTTGACATTTGTCAGCATTTAGAGGTTCAAGAGTTAAACATGGTTCAGAAACTGTATATATCTATTACATCAAGTCTCAGATCATGTGCCTGGAAAAACTGAAGTATTCATCTGAACTTCTTATGTGCCTTTTTTGGTAAGGGCAACAACATTGAAAGATATACCCATCTTTAGGTTCTTTGTACTGAATGGTACAGGTCAAATCGTGCAGTCTAGGCCAGGGCCAGCCTCAGGGAAAATGACACCCTGGGCCAACTTGTATTTTGGTTCCTCTGGCCTCTACCCCCCCCATTGCCCCTGGCCCCCACTGCCTCCCCATCTATTCCCCCCATTGCCCCTGGCCCTTTCTGTCTCCCTGAACTCCCATTCCCCTGGGTCCTGCTGCCTCCCCCTCACATTGCCCAGAGCTCCTTTCTGTAGGCTTGCACCCCAGGCCTGCCCCATTCTTTGCCGCTTGACCACAGCGGCTGGAGAGCAGTGGCTGCTGGTCAGGTGCCACCCAGCTTTGAAGGCAATGCCACCGCCAGCAGAAATGCAGCAGTAAGAGTGGGATGGTATAATACTACCACCGTTACTTCTGTACTGCTGCTGGCAGTGCTGCCTTCAGAGCTGGGTGGCCAGAGAGCAGCAGCTGCTGCTGACCGGCAGTCCAGAGGTGCTGGGGCTATGTACTTCCCTGCCGAGAGGTGGCGGGGCTCAGAGTTGGCAAGCTCCGGAACAAATTAAGCACTGATGGTGCCCCGCTGACCACAGCGCCCATGTTGCCCACCCATAAGGCCAGCCCTGGTAGACTATAACCTCCAGATCTGCAGCATGATCTTTCCTTCCCTTCTTCCAGCAGACTGACAGACTCCTTCTGTTCCACAACCTGTTGGAAGGAGCTGTAGAGTAATGCCCTCAAGCATTAGTCCTGATTGAAGAGACAGTTTGATTCCCTTCTAACAACTTGACATTTCTTTCACACAGCTGCACTTTGCCTCACCGAGTTCTTTGGTTTACTTGGGATACACCAATCATCTGCCTCTGTAGCCATTTGATAACGCTTAAAGGCAGACTTGTTGAACACAGGGAGCTTTTCTACTGATGCTGTTGAAAGAGCCTAAAACACAACACAAAAAAAAATACAGGAATTACTTATTCAATTATCTCTTTCAAGCCACTGTTCCACGACAATAAGAGTTCTAAATATACCATTAAAAAAATCAAAGCAATATATATTTAACAATAAGTTTGAGACCTGAGCCACTGACACTACAATTACATAGATAATGACATACTTGGATTAATAGTCATTTGAGCATTAGTCTTTTGCATTTGCAACAGGCCACAGTACTGTGCGCTGTTGTGCTTAGGTTTGCCATGGAGAAAGACGTGTTGTCATTAAGTGTCAAGTCATATTGCGGTCAGATTTTACAGGCCATGAACCTGTTTGTGTTCTGCATGATATGACTTCTTTGGGGCAATTTAAAAATCAAGATAATCCTGGATATAGCAGGACAGCTCCTTTCTCACAAGACCTGAAGGGGCATTTAGTACATCTTACCCCATTTTACAGATAAAATAGGATTCTATGATGAATAGACAAGGTTTGGATGGTATAAATAAAAAGTTATTGTAAAGTAGAACACTTTGTGTACACACACACACCCATTTCATAGGTTGTGCTTCGATAATTGTATTTTAAAGTAAGTTTTGTGACACAGTCAGTACAAGTACCTCTCCAAAACAGATGCACGGACTACCAAAAACCTTTGGTTTTTATAGTTACCTGAAGAAACCTGGTGTATGTAGTAGGCTAGACTCTTATCTAATGAGGAATCTGACATAATGAAGTATTTAACTTACCCAAAATTCAGCATCTGTACAACAGTTGAACAGGTAAGCTATTGGTAACAACTATTTATATTTCCTTATAAGGCTGGATTTCTCACTGCTGAAGACAATGATCAGTGAAGAGTAAAGATCTGCCACTTGAATGTTTGTACTTTTAGTGCCTCAATTCCAACCAGCACCTCAGTCCATAAGTTTCTACTTAACGTGTGTGTGGGAAGGAGGCCCGCAGCCTCAAATACCTGTGTAAATTGGACCAGCTGAAAACTAGTGCAATTCCTATTTATACTACAAACTTACCCTCAGCTCTGACAGTCAAGCTGAGTAATTTCTAGCTCACCAGCAACAGAGGGTCTGCAGGCCCAGTTAGGCCTTCAGTCAGTCACTTGTGTAGAACCACACTTTAATGTCAATTAAGTGGGATAAGTGATCAGCAATATTACTTTCATGTAACAAAAGCACATACCTTCAGGTAGAGAATAGCATCTGTTCCGTAACCTGGTATAGAATATAGATTCAAGTCTCCTTGAAAGTATTTAGCATATAGACGAGAAATTGGCAAGCCGTACCCAAAACCAGCCTAGAAATAAGTACAATACATCAAAATAAAAATTTCTTCCATTTCCAGAGAGCATGACGACTGTTCAAGGGAGACAGTTTAGGTCCCTGGATGTCTCCATTACTGCAGAGCTTCTCTCCCTCCCCCACAAAAAATGTTAACAAGGAAGCCTCATTTAGAACACTGGAACTTTATGAAAAAAGTTAATCTCATCTTCAATCAAAACATGTTGAAAGATCTTTCAGTCCAAGTCTTCAATTGTGGAATTATATATTTTACACCTCTCACTTTTACATACTGTATTTAAGTTTCCCCAGCCATGTCTTCTCTTTTTAAACCAGATATGGGGCAGAAGCGGAGAGCTGAAAAGATGGCAAAGAAGCTTCTGTTCTAAGCTTGTCTCCTAAAGGGTCCCAATTTGAGGCAGGGATGTTAAGAGTGCAAGTGAGGGAAGAGAATCAAGATGCAGAATGGCTGGCTATGTCGCTTCAGAGAAAAAGCAAAGACGGAACCCTTGCAATGGCCTCTACTCTGTTCCTCCTGGCAGCAAACATTGGCTCAGTTGCTGTCAACAAAACCTATCAGGATATTATTATGAGGAGGAGTGAGGATCGGGAGCAGAGATCACTGAAATACTGCTCCTTCCTTCAAGTTGCGGCTCGAGAGGAGAGGGATTTTAGCATAGAGATGTCCACAGGTTTTTAGACAACCAACACGTCTCCACTTTTGAGCCAACAGTCATTAGAAGCGCATCCAAGCTAGTCTCAATCACTGCTGGGAGAACCTAACTTATTCTTAAAACAAGACACAGCCCAATTTGAACGGTATTCCTAAATTATTAAACATAGGACTGGGGCACAAGGAGGGAGCAGAAGCCACTGAAAGACTGCCCCCTGTAACACGTAGTTGCTTTGTTCACCATTTTCGCACCAGAGGTCATTCTTAACTTTAGGTGAAAAAAAAAAAAAAAACCTAATGTACGAGAGTTTTTTAAATGGAAAGGGTATGAGACAATAAAAAGCTGCCTAAAGTGGAGATGGGAGAGACTTAAAAAGGTACAAATGAAGAAAAATGCTGAAGCCTTAGAATGCCATTGGTCCCATTCCAACAAAGTGTGTATTTTTTTATTGTGAAGTTCAATTCACCTGTGACTATCTCACAAAGCAGTGAGACTCTGAGAAGATTCCAAGTACTTTACTCTATCTTGCAGTGTTCCTTTATAAAATTACTGTAGATTTCAGATCTTACCAAAGGAGCATTACGAGAGTCATCCAACACGGGTCTTGGTGCTGTGGAATACATGTAGCTAAACAGGAGATTGATTTTCCTCAATGGAACACCACCTCCTGTGTCAGATATCTGATTAAAAAATTAGTCAACTGTAAGTCTGTACTAGAAATAGCATTGAACATTAGCAGCTGAACCCATCCACCAGTAACCCATCAGTTATTCCTGATTAGAAAGCACAAAAAGCTTAGATTTCTGATAAATAACCGCCTAAAGTAATCTTCAACTAAAGACTCTTTAGTAGATATTAACTTTGTCCTACAGTTATAAGTCAGCAAGCTTTTCTATTGCTATTTGTTATGGAATATTCATTCAGTCTTTATTTCATTTATAGGCTATTGCAGTCAAGTAATAGATTACCTTAATTGTCAGGTCTTCATTTCCTAGAACAACAGTCACTTCAACTGGAGAAAGAGAAGAATTGTTCTGATGTTCAACTGTTGCCCTCATGGCATTCTATGGAAATTAAGGTAATCACCATCATCAGAAGAGTTTGGCTCAATTAACTGTATGTCACTATTACAGCACCACAGATAGTAGGTTCTGGTGTGGTTCCTGCCTCTCCCCACCTCCCTCTTCCAAGTGCACACCAGGTCTTTGTTAGAAAGAGTTGACTACACTTTCCCCCTACCCCTAATTGTTTGGTCTTTGGGGAATGTTCTTAGCAATTTAGTATAGTGGGACTGAAGGAAAACCTGCATCTAGAAGTGACTCCCAAAGCAGACATTTTATTTGGGGTTTAATTATTGGAAAGGGCACTTCAATATACATATCAGAAGTTAAGCTGTACCTGCCCAACATGAAGATTAGACATTATAAATTTAAAAAGGAAAGCTGTAGTTAGATTCTAAGACAACAGTCATGCCCAGTGGTCACTGAAGAGTCCTAGGTGCTTTAACCCAAACAAGCCACACACCATCTTTTCAACCCCATTACCTCTTGGTCTATTTTTGTTGCTGCCACATTCGCTTTTCTTTCAAGAACACACATACCCTACAGTCCCTACCTCACATATAATGGTATTTTATTTCTTCCACTCCCCAATCTTGTATTTTACATAAACTAAGATGTTTAGTCAGGGATGCATGCTCATTTGGTGCTTCCTATTCCTCTTTGCATCACAAGGATGACAGATACCATGAGGCCCTTCTAACTTCACTGACAAAATGGAAACTCCAGAATTCGCAAGATCAAGATTAATAAAGGGCATAATATCCCCCTCCACCCCAAAATCTCCACTACATCTGAATCCCACGGCATTCTTATCTGCTGCTACCATCCCTTCCTCTAGTGACAAGAGCTATAGTTCTTGATCTTAGGCAAGAAACTAAAACCAGATCTGGTTAAAGACTGAAACACATTAGTTCATGCTCACAGAACTGGGCAATGGCATGCTCATAACAGAAACATGGGTTTACAAACCTTGAAGAGCTCAAACAGTATGTGGAAGAGGTGGGAAGGAACATAAACAACGTGAATGGGTTGTCCTGGCACTCTTCCTGGGGGGGGAGGGGAGGGGAGGGAAAGAAAAAGATTTCCCCAGTTTTAAGGCTTTTCTTTTGTTGGTTTTGCTTCCCAAATCAACTCTATTGTAAGCAAATGAGGTCATGCTATAGTAAATAAGGAAATGGGGGAAAAATAAGACTCACTCAAGAGCACATCATATACCAATTTGTTCACAATGCATTATTTCATGAACACCACTGAATTATTTTCAAGTGACTGTGCACATCATTCAGTTTTTAGCATTCTTCTGGAGTGGGCAAGAATTAACTGCCCAGAATCAGACACATGCAGAGAGTATGGATTAGAACTCAACAGTTCCTCAATTCCAGGCCTGCATCCACTTTCTAAGTGTAAAGAGAGCTTATTCCTTGCCATCATATGCCAGCGCTTGTGCGATTTAATATATAGACAGGTCAAGTATATTCTCTGAAGCATTTGCAAGAACCACAACTCAAAAAAAAAGTTCATATTTGAGAGTCAGAAAGCCAATGTGCTATCTTATGGAACCAAAATGCAGAGAGCTTGGATTCTAACAACTGAGGTGAAAAATGCAATTTGGAGGACCTTAAAGAAGTGGAAAGGAGCAAACATGAGACTAGCCAACTGGTAAACAAGGTTCAAGAGGAAGCCATATATGGCTACTCTGACAAAAGCACTCAGAAGAGATTGAGTGAAAGTCTCCTAAGAGCTAGAGAAGTCAGTTTGGCTATTGATAAGGATTATTAGTCTGCAAATAACAGATTAAGCCATTATCTTACCATTCACTTCAATGAGACTTAATTCTGGAGAAGCTAAGTAATACTGGTCACAGAGTCTCCGGGAAGTTTCAAAAGCATCTGTAATATTTTTTAATTTTACAAAAGTAAGTGTATGCAGTTGTAAAGTGAAATGTTATAATATAGCAATTTACTCTCTTTGGCAACATATCACTTCATACTACATTCATATCTGGTGTGTTGTAATATGTAAACATGCATGTTTTAACATTAATATTTATAATAGATATGCATCATGAGATGAATGTAGTAAGAGTAAAGACTAAATATGCAAATGTAATAGCATTGCTAGATTTTACAGCATAATTTGAGTTTTGTAGAACAGACGCCTAGAGAGTGAAAGATAGAAGTTTGCCACCACACAGCTGGTGTTGATTTGTCATGGACTGCTCCCACCTCATCTACCACTCAATACTTGATAATGTCTTAAATTCTTCTACTATTTTGCACCCTCTTTAAAACCAGGAGATCAACTAGTCTACAGCTGATAACTGTCAGGAACTTAAAATAAGTCATGTTCAGCACCCCACATAAGCACATCTTTTGTCTGCATGTCAAACTACTTGCAAACAAACAGTCAGTGCTAACCATGAAGAGAGAGCCTACTGATTTAACAATGTACATACCATTCACCACTCCCACCACATCACAGCATGGATCAATGCTGCCAACGTGCTGTGGATGACCTGAGTTGGTATTGTCATCAAAAAGAAGTGCTGTTTAAGATAAACCAATGTTATATTTCATTTCAGGTAAGCAACAAATTATGAAAAAAGTCAATTCACATTCACATACTCTGATCAGAAAAATATTGCTTTTTTTTTGGCAAGTAATAATTTCAGATACTGGAGATTTTTTTCAGGCCTCCTCCTCCGCCCCACCCAAAAAAAATGGGAAATATAGTCTAGATTTTCAAGAGTCAAAGACAGGGCAGGTTTGGTGCCGAGAGAACTACTGCTTATCGCAAAGACACAAACTATGCTAATTTTTTTTACTAGTGGATCAACATCTAAAGCAGGGGTTCTCACAACAAATTTTTTGGTAGCCTCAGAGTGCAGCCACCAACTCTTGCTGGTGGCCACTCTGACAATATTGCCTAAAATACTTAACTTTAGGAGGGAAAAATAAATATGCACATATACATGTCAAAATCATTTTAATTTATGTAGAATTATTTTTGCAGCCTCAATAATGATGTACAGTTGTCTCTATTCTTTACTGCACCTAATCAGAATAGAAACACAAATAAGGTCCTTTGCACATTCTCATCTTTGTTATTTCTATTGCTTATTGGTTGCCTGTTTTTTAAAGACTTGCTAGCTAGTAAGTCTGCTGCTGTGAAAAGTAACTGAATGTTTGTTAATATCACTTTTCACAGCAGACTTACTAGCTAGCTGGGAGGCTGTAAAAAGTGAAACTAAAACATACAAATATCAATTTTCACAGCAGACTTACCCAGCCCTGGCAAGCCAGGGAACAAATTGAGCCCTGGATGGGGAGGTGGATAGGGAGACAGTGGGGGCCAGGAGTGATGCAGTGGGGTGGTAAGCCGAGGGCCAGCACCCATGGCCGGGGTCCAGGGCTGGAGGCTGAAGCCCCATGGCAGGAACCTGCAGCCTGCCACTGCCACCCCAGGGTGAAAGCCTGAGCCTCACCACTCCCGGGAAGATAGGGAACTCACTGGCTGCCTGATCATCTGGCATTTGTGACTCCAGGGGGAGAAAGCAGGGCCCAACTTTTGCTGGTGGCCCTGGGGCAGGGGCCACAGCTCTGCTCCCCGCCCCACCCCCAGTTATTGCCCAGGAGGCTGTGGCCACAAGAAAAGCCCCTAGTGGCTGCATCTGAGAAATGCTGAAGAGTTTATTCATAGGTGAGGATGATATCACTAGATTTCTACACAAGAATTTTCATTAGTTTAGAGTTAACGTTGAAGTTTCAAATTAAGATAACATACATATTCTGATATTCGTCTAGCTCATATCTGCAGTTAAAAATACTAACACACTAGTGACATATGAAGTCACCTGACACACTCCTCTAACACTCATAAGAAACTTTTAATTTAACATGTTCCACAACACTTACAATGCATTTTCTCAAGGGAAAAGTGAAGACTTACTGTGCTGGTTTATTAGCATCCGGATGGATATACGATTCATGTAAAACCGATCCAAGAAGTACTGAATATTTTGATTGGTGACTGGGTCCACTCTGAAGGCATCTTGGTATTCAATTACTCCTTGCGCCATTATAGGCACAACATCGTGGTGTCTATTTCGGACTATAACAAGTGTATCTATAAAGCTAGATAATCACAAGACACATTCAGATAAATATTTAAGACTGCACATGGGCAAATTTCAAACAAGAAATTCTCTATAGCAGCATCTTAAGTTATGGTGCAAAGTGCTTATATTTAAAAAAAAATTAAGTGCAATTGTGTTTTAAGGCCACCTCATAGCATAACCTTCAAAGGAAGGACCTCATCACTAACCTAAACAGAAGATCTTACTTTTTAAATACAGGGCCTGATTCACCCATGTATTACTTCAGTTTTACATCAGAGTAATTGGATGGTGAACCAGTGTCATAAAAAGGTCAGTCATCTCTCTGATGATTTTCACTTTGAAGGGCTTGTTTTCACATAAATGCTACAATGACACAGCTGTGCCACTGCAGCACTTCAGTGTAGATCCTCCCATTGGTGTAGGTAGTGATTCTCCCATAGTGTATGGTTTCAGAGTAACAGCCGTGTTAGTCTGTATTCGCAAAAAGAAAAGGAGTACTTGTGGCATAAATTGGTTAGTCTCTAAGGTGCCACAAGTACTCCTTTTCTTTTTCCCATAGTGTATGTAATCCATCTCCCTGAGAAGCAATAGCTAGGTTTACAGAAGAATTCTTCCACCAACCTAGTACAGTCTACACACATTAGATTAGTATACCTATGTTTCTCTGGGAATGGCTTTCACACACTTAGAGAGACCTAGCTATACCGATGTAAATTCCTAGTGTAGACCAGGCCAAAGTCATTCTTTTCCCAGGGGCAGAAAAATAAACTTCTGGCTAAGGTAAAGTGGCAAGCAAAATTGCCTGACTTTGCCAAAAGCACTTAACCTATATGCAACACTCTCTCTCGCCATCTGTCCTTAAAATTTTCTCATGTCTAGCCACTTCCTATGTCTTAATCATATACACAATATTTTCGTTTGAGGGGGCTTTTTGGCCCATAGGTGAAGTGAAAGAATACACTAGAATATTAGTAATATGAAATATCTAGGTCTATTTGTTCATAAGAACCTGAATTGAATTAAAACAAAACCAGTACTTCAACCTGCAATAGAACTTTAACTGGAATGGGATGTCCCAGAGTATTTTTGTTTAAAGGTTTTTCCTCCTCTCATGCCAGTTAAAATACTATTAGACTTGTTGGCCCTGAAAACAAGATCTGTTGAGATATCAAAATTGGTCAGCTTTATTGCACTGGCGTAGTCACTTTCAACATGTCATATTTATTTAAAAAAAAAAAAAAGCTACTGCAAGAAATGGTTAGCACTTAATATGCCTTGTACTGAAAGCAAGTCCAGTCTCCAGGTCTTTCAAATATGCTAGGTTATCAGCATAGTCAGTCACTGTAAGCTGAATGTGTTATGGAAAATGGAAAGGAAGATGAAAAATGAAATGCTTACTCGGATAAAACCCTGTGGTCCTCTGGGTGTTTTTGATGGAACTCAACTACATCCATTAGACTCTGAATGTACCTAGAAAAGATTGTCAAAAAGAAATTAAAAAAAAAAAAAAGGTGCTTATTTAAACTGTTTGTTAAAAATGTTGAAGTTGCAGAAAAAGTTCTCCTCCTCCCAAAATTACTATTTAACAAGTTAATAAGTTGCCATAGCTTTAAGATTCCACTCTGTCACCTCTGACATATTCTGTATTGAGCACTTAAACAAAATCCTTCCCACTTACCAGCTTTTTACCAACTGTACTGATGGAGTGCTCAGTAACTGACTAGGAAGCAGGTCAATTTCTCTCAGGATATTTGCTAGCCTCACAGGAAGTTCTTGCCGCAGAAATGCGAAAGAGGTTCTTTCACATCCATTACTTGAACCTATAAAATAAGAACAGTTACTTTTTGTTTTAAAACATATTCAACATACAAGTGTTAAGAGGTTTCTTGCAGACTCCCTCAAATCCCAGGATTACATTATTGCAGATGCACAAGAGCATAAATATGTAAGCCTATCAAGGATGCTATATTGGCTAGTTCTTCTTTACTCTAGATATTTTCTAGATGATTGCAGTGGATACCTAGTTCAGCAAGAAACAGACATCTGTATAATAACATCTAGTTAAAGGCATATTTTGCATTTCAAGTTCAAGTAGGGGGAATTGCCTCTTTATCACCCATGGAAGCCAAGCTAGCCTACATAAACAGTGAACTCTTACAAGTGGTCTGCCAACATCCACCCCCACCCCATAAATCTGATCACCAGAACATAACTTTCCACAGCTGCTAAAGATGGTAAATCAGATCTGCAGAACAAAGCATTCATATTGTGACCACTGCATAAAAATCACATCTGTTCTGTTCACATGCACTACAGTTTAAGAAACGCAGACAGTTGAGCTATTTAAGGTGTTCCCCATCAACAATACTAATGCACAAGATACATTTTTGCATATTTTTAGATTCAACTTTAACTGAAACAGTCATTGGATCTTTTCAGTGGTTTGAGCATTGGCCTGCTAAACCCAGGGTTGTGAGTTCAATCCCCTGAGGGGGCCATTTAGTGATCGGGGGCAAAAATTGGGGATTGTTCCTGCTTTGAGCAGGGGGTTGGACTAGATGACCTCCTGAGGTCCCTTCCAACCCTGATATTCTATGTTATTCTATGTTATTCTTTCAGCTTCACTGCAGACTTGCCAGCAGTACAGGCTTCCGTTTACTATCCCAGTCGGAGAACAGCACCTCGGGGTGGGGGTGTGGGGGGGGGGGGAAGCACTCCTGTGGCGCCGGGCAACGCCAGCAGCAACACACACATGATCCAATTCCTGATCGGGGACTCAGCCATTCCTTGGACTAACGGATTCGTGCAGCGGTCAGCGCCAGACAGCGGCTGCCAAACGGTTCCGCTTTGCTGACTTCCAGCCTTGTGGAGCAGACAGAGGTGGGTCCCGTCCCCCACGCTGTTGATAACGGGAACATCTCGGGTCAGCGCAGCAGCCCTCTCACGACGAGAGCAGCGTCCCGCACCCCCCGGCAGAGGAGCGCGGGGGCCTCCGGGCAACCCCTAGCCAGGGTCTAGGGCAGAGGCGGGACAGGGGCGCCAAGACGCCACGTGTCTCTAGAGCGGGGGCGGGGGGCGCACCTGAGCCCGAGACACCCGAGGCAGGAGCCGGCCGGCCAGTGGCAGCGCGCGGGTTGCCGGGGGCATCACCGGAGAGCTGGAGCCAGTCCCGGGCCAGGGTGCCCGCCGGCAGCACAGAGCCCGAGGCGGGTAGGAGAGCTACCCCCACCCCGGCCCCGCGCTCCCCGGCCCCGCGCTCCCCGGCCCGTACCGAAGTCCAGGAACTGTTTGATGGAGAGCGGGGAGGGCGAGTAGCGGGAGAAGCGCTCCACCTCGCGCGGCACCGGGCTGCTGACCCCGCCCGCCGCCAGAGGGGCGGCGCTGCGCAGGGTGACCCGCGCGGCCCTCATCGCCCCGCGCGGCAGGTGCGGTGACGGGACGGGCTCTCGGACGCTCGCGCCACGGTAGCTCTTCGACTTCTGAAGCTACCTCTCACGTGCGGCGCTATTTACCACTCACACACCGGCCTCCCGCGGGGCGGGGCCACGGCCGGGGGCGTGGCTCTAGGCAAACCGCGCCCAACAGAACCTTCCCCGGGCTGGGATGAGACAGGCCAGCGGTTCTCGCCAGTACCATTGTCCGGCAGCGTGGGGGGGCGGGGCGGTTGTGCTATCCCAAGGGAACCCAATGGGCGCTGGGGAGAGACTCCAGAGAAGGAGGAACAGGGGCAGCGGTGGTGGCTCGCAGGTAGGGCGGAGGGGCGGGGCCTCTGCTCTGCCTAGATACCTCTCTAGTGTCCTTGTTTACGAGGCAAATCAATGTCAAACCCCCTGTTTCCTCCCGCGGAATGCGTCCTTCCAGGGACCCAGCTCACTGCTCGCCTCACTGACTGTTCCGGCCGAGCTTGGCCTTCGAGAGCGAGCCAATCCGCGGGGCTAGACCCACGCCCCTCTGGGCCCCGCCCCCATTCCCGAGGGCGGGGCCGGAGCTGCTCTTCCTAGAATCCTGAGAACGGGGGCGGGGCTAGGCACGGGGACGGGCTGGGGGGAAGCGTCGCCCGCGGCTGCCGGGCTGGGCAGGGCTGCGCTGTTGCTCCGGGTGTCCCCTGGTTCTGGGGCCGCAGCACAGCGGGGCGCTGCTGGAGTGCAATCACAGTAAAAGAAAACTTTGCGCTAACATTGCTGTCCCGCTGCCCCCCCGAAGCCTCTGGTGTGCAGGGACCCTCCTTGTGCTGGCCGGAGTGGGTAGGGTGATCAGACAGCAAATGTGAAAAATCGGGATGGGGGTGGGGGGGTAATAGCGTATGTAAGAAAAAGACCCCAAAATCAGGACTGTCCCTATAAAATCGGGACATCTGGTCACTTTAGGAGTGGTGCCAGCTCTCCCCCTTTTCCCTTCTCACACTATTTGCTGGTGTTTTTCTTCCAGCCCCAGAGCCCTGTGGTGTTCATTCAGAAACAATTGTTAGCCCTTGTGGCTCTGGAAAACATGACTCCTAAAGGCTCACATGACTGATGTCAAAGAAAAGACCCCAAACTATTAGTTCCTTTTTAATCTTGCAATTTGTGAACACTTGGGATGGGTGATGCTAATATAAATGGCAGCCCTTGACCCAAAGCAATTACAGTCTAAAAAACCAAAATGTAAAAGGGGAGAACAAGGCATCAAAAATAATAGGATGCTATAGCACAGACTATCTGGGTATGGAATTCTCAACCAATTATTAGCTGTAAATTCCATTTGTCACCTGCATAACAATTCTTATTTGGCAGTTTTCTGCATGAGGCTGTTTCCTATACTGCTAAATCCAAGAAGCTGGGACCATTGCAGTTTAAGGAAGAAGCAGTTGCTTTATAGGGGCTGGGTTGCCTCCTTTTGTAGATAGTTTAAGGTTCCAGCTGTCCTGCTAACATTTTGGGATGTGGGTATGGGACTAACTCAGAATAGGAGGCTGGTGAGGTTTTCAACTTCTCCCTTTGTGGTGGGCTGTAATTGTGATGTAGTACTAGGGATGGATATTAACACAGGAGATGGGATCTGTGCAAAGAACATCCTGAAGTGCACTCAATGTTTCTGACAATGACTGATAATGGGACTTGGAGCTTTTCACCTCTAGGTCACTTAGGCGGCACCCTGGGTCGATAACGACTAAAGCCTAGATCCACAAAGTATTTAGGCTCCTAACTTCCATTGATTGCAGTGGAAGCTAGGATCCTAAATGTCTTTGTGGATCTGGGCCCAACTGTCTAAAGACAACTGTTTGACCCTCTGGTGGTTTGGTTCCTAGTGGCCCTCACCTTGTGATCCTTGTTTGTTGTCTCTAGAGAGGGGCTTGGGAATGATGGACTGAGCTACTCTCATCCGATGAAGTGAGCTGTAGCTCACGAAAGCTTATGCGCAAATAAATTGGTTAGTCTCTAAGGTGCCTTTTCTTCTCACTTTCAGCTGGTCTCCTCTGGTCACAGCAGGGCTGGGAAAAGTGCTCTCCCTGCTTTGTGGAGAGAGGACTTCAGTCTCCAGCACTATTCAACATTTTCACAAGCCCTGAAGTCACTCAAAGAAAAGCAAAGAAAAAAAGACTACATAATGAACAAGGAGTGTAATTGAAATATGGTGCTAATAATTCCAGCCAGGGTGACATCCTAAATGTTGGTCGTTAACAGCAGGCCCAACTTCCACTAACAGCTATGCTATAAAGGGATGTAGTCTCCATCCACCTATATAACTAATCAGTATTATTTATATTTTCATATTTTAACCAAACTGTTTGATTTAGCCTCTATAGTGTAACATATAGAACAAAACACTCTGTACTTAAGATTTCTTCTGGTGCTTTATCCCAACATTTTCTCTTCCTAGGTCTTATTTCTTTTATCCTTCCACTTGCAGGGCATTTGCAATTTGCTTGTTTTACCTCTCCTTATCCCCCTCTCCTACTCTTCCCTTTCTGCACTCACTCTACTGAACAGAAGTGAAATTGCAGTGTGGAAATTATATAGCAAAAACAAGGACATTTAACAGGACTGGTTTATCTTAAATTAAAAATAAATTAAAGTCTAATGCTCTTGCCAGCAGACTGTATTTTAATTGAAAGTTGTTTGAGTTTCATTTTATTTAAATGTTATTTAATCCACCTGCCAGGCATGGATAGCTGTCATGCAGACGATAAAAAACAAAGCATCTCAAATGAGGAAGCACTTAAAAAAAATAGTCCCTGCTGATTGTAATGATCAGTTGAGAACATGGAAAGGTCCTCAAGAGTGACCACTTTCAAAATCAAGTTTTGAGCTTACAACCTGGTTAACAGGGCTGGCATTAGACTTGCTGGGCTCAGGGCAGAAAGTAAGGAATAGGCCCCCACCCTGCCTCCCTTATCTGTTTACACATTGGATTTCTGCAGTGCTTCTGAAGCCAAAGCCCGAGACCCACCACATGGGGCTGAAGCCCAAACCCCCCTGTGGTATAAGGCCCTGGGCAATTTCGCTGTTTGCTACCCCCTAAAGCCAGCCCTGCTTGTTAATGAGTTCATTTATGGTGGGAACGTTCCCTGTCTGAATTCTCCAGCTCTAATCCCCCTACAAACACCATTTTTGTAATTTGCCTGGCTGCTCTCATTCCTTAATACAAATACCATCTATATCCTTAGAGTAGTTTCCTATTACACACCGAGTTCTAGATAGGAAAAATCTACAGGGTATAGCCCCTTTTGTTCATAATTTTATCATCACTCAAATGCATTTTGTACTCCAGTAATTTCACTGCATTCCACTGACTCTTAAGCAGGGAGTGGGTGAATAGAAGTCATATGGGTTCTATTTTACTCTTGGTATACTGGTACAGCATAATTGTTGAAGGGAGAATATCAAGAATGCTGCCCTACCACAACTAATAAAGGGCTAAGGCCCCAGGAACACAAAGACCTAGATGTTTTTGAAAACCAGAAGGCAAACTTCTGTAATAGGCTACTGTGAGTACCAGCTACCCACAAGTATAATCCAACAATGAAAAGAGCTTTATTATTCAAATAATTGCTTCTGGAAAGACATATATTCTCCCCAATATTGCGACATTGTGTTTATTTTTTACGAACTGCAACTGTTTGTATGACTGTTTATAACTGGGGACATTACAGCACGTGTTGGGTAATGTAACTATGAGTTCTTGTGAACATTTCTGGTGGTATTTTCTGATAGTGGTTGTTAGGGATATTCTGAATATTGGACTAGCAATTAATTAGTACCCACGAACCTAGGAATTTAGCTGGATTCATTATCAAATCACATCTGGAGGAAAAGAATGGATTGCAGATACTTAAAATGGAACCCACTTTGGGTACAACTCAGCAACTTCTCCTAACCACAGTGTTGTTTGTTCCTGCTTTGGATCCTTACTTACTCCCTTCCATTGCCCCCCTTCTGGCCCCCGGCACTACATGGTCCCCCAGCACCTGTCCACCATCCAAAATATTGGAAAACTGCACTCTGCCTGGTACTGAAGCACAATATCAGATTCTAAACACTGGGATTCATCACATCTATTCATTGTCAATATTTCAATTTTCTCTTCTGAATAGGGTTGCCAACTTTGCAATATTTAAAAACCGGACACTCCTGCAGGAGTGCTGGAATCTCCCCTGCCCCCCAGGTCTCACCCCAACCCTTCCCCCGAGGCCCTGCCCCGTTGGCTCTTTTTTCCACCTTCTCCATCGCTCACTGCTTTTCCTCTCCCCCCCACATCCCTGAGTAGGTCGGATGGTGCAGGTGATAACTTGGTGCTCCCCACCTCTCCTGCCTGCAGTAACCAGACTTTGGGTATCTGGTCAGTAGATCTGACCAGACACCATCAGGTCCCCTTTTTGACCGGAGTTTCCGGTCAAAAACCGGACACCTGGCCACCCTACTTCTGAAACATTACTACATCCCTGCTTCAAGCGGGTGTTGTGAAAGGAAGCTATAAGGCTTTCAATTGTTCAGTCACTGCAGTGTTTTCTTGGGTTTGCTCATGATGTTCTTAGCTTTGCTTCAGTTTTGGTCTTTAACACACCATTGAAAATCTCTCTGCTCTCTACCACAATACAGTAAAAGGCGCTTCCTGCTCTCCTGTATCAATCCCTGTCATAAATAAGGATAGTCCCTCCCTTTCTACAAGGATACCAGGAAGTCCTGAATCTAAGTGGAAGGAATGGCCTTGTGTCTAAAGCACAGGATTAGGAGTCAGGAGAAGAGAGTTTTATTTGTGACTCTCTCTTAGACTTCTTGTGCAAATACAGGCAAGTCAGTTAATCTCCGAGACACTGTTTCTATTTGTGAAATTGACGTAATACCTACCTCATAAGGGTTACGAGGCTTAATTTCTGGATGTTTTTGAAGCACTTTGATATTCTCTGATAGAAAGCAAAATAGAAGTAGAAGGTATTATTAATGAGGGACATACCTTTCTACTCTCTTCTTTCTGTCTCCCCATAAAGTTAAAGTACTGACGTACAATGGCAAGAA